CATCCGGACTCGCATGTTCTCTTCTACCGTCGGTTTCTCTCTAATCAACAACCATGCAGTGTTTGTGAACGGCCACTCAGTGTGTTTGAATTCAATGCAATCTTGCCATGTGCTCATATTGTACATCTAGGTGAGATATCTTTCTATCAGATAGGCTTTCTTTGTTACAGTGTATGTACCGTTATCTGGTGTTGCTATTAGACGTTGAGTCAGTGTCGGTATGATTTCCCTTTTGCAAAAATCCTTTGTCGCCTCTTCATTATCATCGGGAGGTGGCTAATGAGCAACTAGGTGAAATAAGTAGTCAATAGAAGAGCTAAACAGGTGGGGGATTTTATATTTGAACAACGTGCGACGCAGCGCGCGAGCGCTCGCGAGCTCCGAGGGAAGAATCTAAATTTTCGGGTTCGGTATCTTCTCCCCGAACACTGCGTCGCGCTTGCCGCACCTGCCGCGTATCGCAGAAATGCGATGGAAGATTGGAGTGCGCAATTTGTGAGTTCGGAAATCCTTTGATTATTTTAATTTGCTGGCCGCTCCGTTCGATTCCAATGCGATATTGATCGTCGAGAGTATAGGAGGAGTCATTTCAAACAGTCAAGTCTAATAAACATAAAAACAAAAAAGAAACAAAAAATAGTAAATTAATAGAAAAAGCAAGGCATTCAGCGAAGAGTATTGCGTCATATCGATTTTGAAGCCACGGGACAACTAGAAAAATTTGCAGCATGCCTCGAAGCGAACGCGGGAAATCGCGGATCAGTTCCGTCACCCTGAATAGTTTGATCCGTGAACGGATACAAGTTTTGAAAGACAGTTTTCCAGGCTGTTACGAAGAAAAAATGATTAACCGACATCCCTGCGCCAGATGTAAACAGACAAGTTCCAAAAAAGTCAGAGCTTTCGATGAGCTGATAAAATTCTTTTGTTGTTTATATACATACCAATGACGGTTATATAACTATTCATTCGAATGTATTATTTCATGCATTAAATGTTTCTACTTACCTGTGCATCTACGATTTTCGGGCTGATGAGATCGACATATTCCTGTACGTTTCACATTTGTAGCTCATTTAGCAACCGTAGAATGGTTATGTCCAGCTCGCAGTTGAAATCATTTCACAAAAGAAAACCTTTCGAAGAATTCAAAGCCATGTGGAAACGGCTAAGGACCTAGAGCTAAGTTCCTTGAAAGGCATTGAACGTGTTGAGGTACAGCCAATGATTGGCATTTACCAAATGGTGAAAGGAATTTGGCATTCTACCCTCGTTAACAAATGAAGACCAGGGACACTGTTGCTCCCGCTAAAAAAGACCGTGGGACGAAGGCCACTGCTGTAGGGACCACTCCGGACATAATAAGAAGAGCAGGACGGTCGCCATGGTGAGACTTTTCCAAGAAGGTTCTGGATCAATGGAATGTTGTGCGGGGACGATCCAATGGACTACTGTGGCTTGCGAAAGGGCAAATGGAGACGGCTGGTCGGCCTGGGCGAATATCGATCCGGAGTTCAAAGAATGTGGATGTGTCCGTGGGATAGCACGCGTTTCACCACATATCCCCCGCAACTACTATTGTGTACTTATTGTTAATGAATTGACGAATTCAATCAGTGAAATATGACTGACGACCAATTTATTCAACAGTTTTTGACACTAGCTCCTCCTACAAACATTTATACAAACGAAAATCGGTATTCAATCAACGTATGCTCTAGTATGACCATTATGCAGTAGCTTCAAAAACTGGTTGATTCGTATAAAACTCTCCGTAGGAAAGCGGTGGTACGACACCAGGGCACAGATCATAGGACGACGACTGTCCCTCTCCTTTGCACTGGATTGCTACCAAGCTACCTGGTGGGAATCTGGAAACTCATATCAGTCAGTCAGTAAGTCGATGCATGAATAAGGGCCTGCATTACCTCACTCCCAAACCAATCCTGTCAATGATTTCCCCTCCCTCCATCTTGTCTGTGTAAGAATTTGAAGTCGCTGAAACCCAACAATGTTAGACTCTTACAGATGTTTGATCTACAAAGTTACTCCACGGCTTACCTAGAGAGGCAGCTTCCGCAAGAGTAATAGCGTGAGCAACAAAAATCAAAGGCTCTTCGCGACTTTCTTGCGCGAGTGAGCGTAGAACGTTATTGATACGAGCTACTCCTTCCTTTTCTTGTTCCCTATCGAAATTCTCGAGTAGCTGATCCAGTTTATATTGAGGGGTACTGCAAAGTTGAAGATTCGTTTGAAGCGAGTACCCCAGGGAAGCTACCCTAGGCGTGAGCTTCCTAAAGTCATTCCATTTTCGTAGGTTTCCTAAGAATGTTGGCAGCTCCCAATCAAGCACTAAAGGTTGAAAGAAAAAAACAAAAAGGGGTCCTAAAACTAGGCAGTTGTCCGATTACTTGGCCTTTGAGTTACGGAAGGCTTGATTGTATAGGGTGAGCATCGAGTTGAGATTCGAACCCAGTCCGTGCGTATGGGAGGAAGCGCCACATGCCCCTACATCCCATCCACCGGTGGTAACTTCTAGTACTACATAATATGGCAGGTATGTAGGTTCTAACTGTTGCTATCTCAGTTCGTGGTGGGTTTTCTATATTCATTACCATGGCTTAGATCTTGGCAGTTTCTGAGGACAGCCGGTTGGACCGAAAAGGCTAACCGACACCTTCACTTTACTGGTTTCACATATGTAGTCATTCTCCCTCCCCTTGGTATTTCCATTATCGCTTAAGAATTGTAAGAGCATTAATAACACTGTGACGTCAGGCTTACTAATTAGTATCTATTGGGTATAACTTGGATAGTAAATCCAGATGAAAGTCGGGCAATGTCTGAGACGTAGCACGATACCACGCTAATGGTTCCAAAAGTCCTGGCTCTATCTGTAAAGCGAAAGTTAGGCATTGTACTGGCGACCTTCACTCCCCCTGACTCACCACTATTTTGGCCTTTAGGAAATTGGCCAACGCTTCGGCAGTCTGAATACATCGAAGTGTAGGAGAGCATATCAGTCTCTTCGATTTCACCCCACGATTGGCCATCGCACGAGCTGTCAATTGGATGGTACACTTCCCTGAACATTTGAAGATGAGCAGATGATCTAGGGAGTCCACGTTGGGATTGACGAATCAATCCCGCTCGTAGAATACTTCAAGTCTTAGCAGCTGAGTTGAGGTGTTCCAGTCCGAATAAAATTTCCTCCAACAGAAGAGCTTGTTCTTAGAGGTGCAGCAGAGCTATCGGACCTCTATCTTCTCAGTTCATAGCAAGATTATTCCATCAGAAAAGTAATGGGTCCACGATTTACGGAAAACTTTTGAGAACGCTGTGCCACTCAATGCTTATAAAACACAGATAATACCTAGGTGTTTGTTTTTGGTACAAATATTTACAGTAAATTCAAGGCGCACCTACCGAATGCTGTTATTGGTGGATTGTCATGGAAGACACCTGATTCAATTAGGTTTCTCGCAGCAGGATTGTTCGGAACGTTCAGGTCAGTGGGTGTAAGCTGAAACTCGTGATGGCTTATGATTGGAACAGCTGATAAGACGAAGATGAGGAAGACTCAGTAGTTATGAGCTATAAGGATCATCAGCCACGAATCTCCTTTCTATTCCTTCTCCTTCATGACAGTTGGAACAGTCCCATTTGTATCGTGTCTCTTGAGCGAGGACGATCCAATGGACCGTTATGGCTCGCGACAGGGACGAATGGAGACGTTACTGGCGCCTGCTCGACGAACTCGATGACCAATGGGACGACAGGTGGTACAAGGGATGCTGATCAAAGGTGTACGCCTGAAACACCCATTTTATCCCTCCAAAAAACAACTTTCGCCCCACTTTCGGATCACCTAGTCAGTTTCTTACTAACCCTGCCATAATTGAGGACTGACTCCCTGCACGTCCGAGACCAAGAGCTTAGTACAGGTTTATGTAGGTTTCCACTTCTGAGATACGCTAGTTTTTGGAAGATAAGAATCACCACCTTCTTTGTTTATTTGCGGACGATCTCCTAAATCCAACCTCTCACAGTCACCCAAGAAGTCTAGAACGCCTGAGAAATACCT